GTCTTTGTATTATTTTTTTTGTTGCTATTATTTATCCTAATTCATCCTGTATTTGGTTAAATGAAAGTTTCCAGAGGGTCCTGAAAGGGGAAGAGGAGAGAAAGAGCTGCCAATCCCATTTCCCACCCAAATTGTTTTACAAATTTCACTTCCCAGCGTCTAAATCTCAAATTCTTTTCTTTAAACATTTACTCGCACACACGGTTATGTCAGCTCTCAAAAACCTTTTTTGGATGCTCTAAAAATCTATCAGTTTTCTCTGTAATCACAGAGTGGGACAATCACGAACGGAACCCTCAGATCCATGCTAGGTGAAAGCCCTAGATATAATTGGAATTTAGAAGTTGGTTTTTGCGGAGGGAGGAAAACCGGAGAACCCGGAGAAAAACCCTCGAAGCACAGGAGAGAACCAACAAACAACTTAACTCACATACGACACCGAGCACGGCGGGGCTCGAACTCGGGTCGCATTGGTGAGAGACGACGCATTAGCAGTGCTTCTCTTTCATCACTGATCCAAACAGACTCATTTTCACTGTCGATAGTTTAATGATAATAAATACTTATCAATCTAAATATATTGATTGAATTAATAATAACTCTTGCACACTAAACTCAGTACAAATCACGTTACTTGATAATATCAAACTTAATAAAAATATACATTTAAAAAAAGATAAATCGTTCTTTTTTTTTTTTTTGAAACACTTGTCTACTATAACGGGTTGTTTCAGGATTCACTGAGAATAGAATAAAAGATTTTCAGAATTTTCAGAATTAACTTACACAAAGTTAATAAACTAATTTAATTTAATCTAATCTAATCTAAGTGATAAAAATACTATTACAAATTCAAAGGTAAGTCAGCTTTAAACAAAGAAATCACTTAACGATATACGCCTATTTCAAAAAAACCTTGTCGGTCTGACATCTGAAATGGGCGATCTCAAGCTAAACAGATTTTTTGTGCTTTTATGTTTTGTGGCTGAAATACGAAACAAATCACGATTTTAAATTAAAGGCAATATTCCTATAATAATAATAATTCCTAATAACTTATATTCCATTCTAAAAGGAAACTATGTTGATCGGCTGTGAATATTTTGAATTTATAGCTTGTTACTCGTTCACAGATTTCAGATCTCCAACCGAGGTTTTTGAAATAGGTGTACCCAATATGAATCACTAAACTGATTAGCGATGACGAGTTTATTTAAATAGTTTGAGAAAGTCAAACAAAAAATATGTGCAGTTTCTATATTCTGAATCCGAATTGGAATATATATTTAACCACGGTAAAATACATCAGTCAATCACGGCTAAAAATATATAATATAAATGCTAACTAAATACAGATATATAATATACATGCTTTAGATACTGCTTTACATGTAGGCCGTGGGAAATAGGTTAGCCTTGCCCTTCGCAGTAACTTGAACGAGGATATTTGGCTTTTATTGCGCTGGTCGTCAAGTCGTCGCCAAATACCTATACTCTTAATTATTGGAAGACTGCAATGGTGCTATCTGATTTTTGGGGAACATATTCGTCAAAGCAACGCGGAATTTCTTGAACATAAAGAAATAAATGACAGGATTACAGCAAGTGGAAGTCTTCGCAAACAACGCAGGTAGGGTACCAAGTACGGGAGCAACGCTCTTGGAAGACAAGCTCGAATACAAGGAAACAATGGCGTAGGGGAACCACGCAACTAAAAACGCAACTAACATTACGAAAGACATCTTCACCGTCTTAATTTTGGCTTGAATAGTTTCTTGGGTTGGCTGCGCTAAAGGTCCCCATCTTTTAGCAGCATCTGTGGCCATCTTGCCTATTTCTTTATGAATAAGGACATAGCAAAGCGTCGAGAGTGTAACCGGAAAAAAGAAAAAGAAAACAAACAACGAAATGGTGTACGCCTTATCGCTTGGCACTTTAGAGTTCCAGGTAATTGAACAGCCCGAGTAACCAGGTTCAGGACCAAAGGAAGACCAACCAAGAAGAGGAAAAAGACTCCAGAGAAGCGAGAACAACCATAGACCAATAATCACAGCTATAATTTTTCTTTCTGATATTAATTGGGTGCTGGGCATTTTTATGGTATAGCATTTTTCAACAGATAGTGCAACAAGGTGGATCATAGAAGTTAGCCCGAGTACGGTCGAAGAGAATGCAAAGTACTGACAAACCGATGGATGCAATGTCCACCAGTGTTTAGCATTCGCGTATGCAGCAATGGGAGCAACGAAAACGGACCTTAGCCAATCGGAAAAAGCCATGCTTAGTAGAAGATAATTGGAAGATGTTAACAGGGCGCGGTTGGTAAGAAAGGTGATAATTACGCAACCGTTCAGTAGGAAAGATGTAACAGAGATTAAACCCATCCAAGCGCTGATCCAATGGTAGAAATGCAGTGGAAAAGGCATTTTTCCTGTTGAAATCCAAGTTGAGCCTTTAAAAGACAATAACAAAATAAAAGGATGGTTTGTAAATTGATCTTTCTAGCTTGGGCGTGATAGAATGTTTGCACCATCACGTGATGGCAGCCACTCTGATTTACGCACAAGAAAGAATTCAGTTTCCCAGTTTCCCAGTTTCCCAGTTTCCCAGTTTCCCAGTTTCCCAGTTTTTCAATTTTTCAGAAAAGCCCTAAAGATAGAGGAACAACTCGAAAACAATATGCGGGAGGATTTCCCATAACTTTTGATATACTTTTGATGTACTTGTATACACCTAATAGAAAAAACGTTGTCGGATTCAAAAAAAGGTTATAACATCAAAGCTAAGTTATGCTAATTTCATGCGTATTGCAGTTTTCCCTTCCTGTGCACATTTCATATATCACGGTTTTGGCATGTTGTTAATCTAGGTCGACCGCCTTTACTCTACTGTGCATTTTTACATGTCTATATGCAAATATAATACACATTTCGGAGTACCCAAAATCCTTTTCGGTCTTAGCCTCGATGATAGGACCTTCTCGAACCCGACTACGTTTTTTCAATTAGGTGTATATGCACAATAGGGTCAAGGTTGATTCAAATTCCACCGAGAAAGGTTCTATGAAATTTATTTCCTTTCTTAGTTGCTCGGTCGCATTCAAATTTCCTTTCCTTTTTTCGCCCTGCTTGTATAATGATAGGATACATTTTTTGTCAATATTTTTTTAAAACCTACGGGCTTTATCAAGATGACAAAGAAGAGCATTAAGGGTAGGAGAGATAAAAGAGCACTTTAACGGAAGAGCAAAAAGACGTTTGAATAAAAATAGAGAAAAAAATGCAGAAGAAAAACCACGAGAGAAATATTCTCTTAAAAGCTGTTATTAAAAAGAACTAAATGTTATGGCAAAATAAATTAATACGACTTCATACCTTTTCCATGATAAAACTGCAATTTCGAAATCAAGTCATAACGAAAAAATTAAATAGCTTCAGAAGTCAAAACAAAGTTATTAAGTTTTGATTAACGTCCACTCCACTGAGGTCGATGTGGTTTTGAGCTAATTGAAATTCATTTTTCAGTTTACTTGTCTTTTAAAAACGCTAGCCTTACGTTTTCACTCCACTGAGTTCGATGTGGTTTTGAGCTAGTTACGTACAATTCCTTATCAGTTTTAGTTCTCTGGAAAATGATAGCTGTATGTACGATAATAAATATAAGCGTATATTTATGAAATTTTACCTCTAGTTGTCAACCGTTTTTGGCTCTCGAAGCTCTTCCTTCTTTCTCTTCTAGATGCCTTTCCATGCGTCAATGTAGTCTACTAACGTGCGACTGGTACTTTATAAACATCTTAGTACTCAAGAGGTGTATTGAACCACGATTAAGGCCATTTTAAAGTCATACGTATAGTTAATGACGATTGTTTAGAAAATGTTTATTAAAGGCCTGGTTTTAAGGCAGACGCATAATTAATGGTTATTTTTAGAAGATATTTAGATAGAAGCATTTCTTTAGGAAATATAAGGAGGTAAAAATAATCAGATTAAAGTCAAGTGCCGAAATTGAAGAAGTCATTCGCATAGGAAACGGTTCTACGTGAAGATTTATAGACCCGAATAAACATATTAAATAAAATAGAAAAATTGAAAATACTGAGATGGGATGGGATGGGATGGGATGGGATGGGATGGGATGGGATGGTGTAGGGTAGGGTAGGGTAGGGTAGGGTGGGGTAGGGTAGGGTAGGGTGGGGTAGGGTAGGATAGGATAGGATAGGAAATACAAACAAGACAGTAGTCAGTGCGCTAATTGGACATTTATTTCTTTATTTAATATTCACATACATATAATGAGCGAATACAACGATAGAACTTTCCAGAAGTGATCACGAGGAAACAATAGTTTTAAGTAGAAGCTGTACCTTGATGAAATAAAGTAATGCATAAAGACATCAAGTTTAACATCCACTTGAAGCCATGGTTTCTTGGGTACGGTGAATTTTAGGCCAGACTAGAGCAGATTCTGACAATTGCTCATGCTTCCTGTCAGCTGCCATCACGTAATGGTGCAAAGCCTCTGTAGCATTTCTAAAGATTCTATCCTACTTGAATCAAAGTTGTACGAAGTAACTAAATCTCCTGATTGCAAATCATTCCTACTGCGGGAAAAAAAGAGAAATGTTATATACGTTAATCATGATATTTATTAAGCTGATTAAGACCAAGCCATATAATCCTCTCTGGTTGATATCACATGACGGGCAAGGTCATCGTAGGCTGATAATAAGATTAATTCATTATGGCAGTCCCATCCATCCCATCACTTTATCAGTTGAATTAAGTGTTATCATCTATCAATCAAGTTGACTGATTTTTATTCAGTTTTATAACATTACCTTTGATTACATATTATATTCTATAAACATAGTTAGCATTTCCCAGTCCAACACACTCTGAGGGGCTCTCATTATCACAGGCTATTTGATCCTTATCAACACATCTGTTACTATTGCCATATTTACTGTACTTGGACGAGGCGCTTTTTGCACTATAACACACTCCATAGAACTGCAGACCAAAATGTGTGTATCCTTTGGCCTTGGCAGCAATGGCACAACGACAGGCAAGCCTGGAAATGATTCAAATAGATGTTACTGAGTTTTGTTTGCAAGGTTTTATGGTCTCCACTAGCCTCCTACTTAGCCGCTATTAGTGCCGTCACGCAACGCTCACTCCCCTAAGTAGTGCTCCTTAGGGGAGTGAGCGTTGCGTGACGACACTAATAGCGGCTACGTAGGAGACTAGGTTTCCACCTATAAAGTTCATAAACGAAGCTTATCTACCGAAGCCGTAAATTAACTTCCGTAACCTTTAATGAACTGATAAATGTATTGTCTATAGACAAAATAATTTACTCCCAAAGTATTGAACATATTACTCTCAAATTTTCAGTAGTTACTAAATAAGACATTCTCTTTCGATTTCAGGAGTCGGTTTAATTGTAGATTGAAAAATTTTTATGCTATCGAGGAAAAACGTAAATAAAAATCAACCTATTGCAGATAATACACATCATATCAAGTTTCAGCCAATCAGAAGTGAGAAGTGTAATAATAATGATTATGTTGAGTTATGGAATATTGGTTGGAGTTACCTATTTAGATAGCCTCCGTAGTTGCTCCAATCGATCAACTCGCCGCCATATTTGGGGCACTGTTCACAGCGATCCTGAAATAGCAACTCTTCAAGTGCTTCGTGACCCCTTACGTCGCGATAGCAACCGGTTTTAAAGTGTGGCACTTTGCATGTATCTGTTGATAGATCAAAGAGGCGATAAGATTAGACTAACACAGGCGAAGTTAAAAAAAAGGCAGACACTGAGGCCCTGTCCACACGTATCCGGAAAT